GCTTGTGATGGGGTGTGAACCGACAGTCTGTAGAGTTTTCCATCTGGTGTGGGTGAGTGATAGTCTACTTTGATTTTGGTTAAGGTGGATTATCACTTACAGTGTAATCAGTGAGGGGATTCTACAGATTGTTGAGGGTTCAGCCTTCTGATGAGTCGGTGAAACTCCGACGAAACAGTTTGTCACAGCCCCTCGTTTGTTGTCCTCTTCTCCCTCTCTGCCTACGGTTTACCGGGCAGTTCTATTAAACGATATATAAGCATGTTTTTCTCTTTAATTTTGTTATAAGACATGACTATATCACATTGTGAACAATAAGTAAGAGGCGAGGTCATACTTACTCAAACTTTATGTTTTTTGTCATTGTTATTTATAATTTATCAATGAAAAAAAACATTAAAAAAAGAGGTACCTCTTTACGAACCTCACGATCTCACTCTATTATTTCTCTATTAACATATACATAATACTCCTCGAAACCTTGAACGCGTACTTTCAAAACAAAATAGAGAAAAGAGGAACAAGAGTTACATTGACATAAAAAACTATAATAGGAAATCAACTTTTTTTTTCCTGATTTTCCTTCTTTCGTATACATATTTTGTTCTGCATGTCCCGCCCCCCCTATTTCATTCATGTTCGATTTTATTTGTTTTTTTATTTTACGTCATTCTTAATTTAATTTTATATTTATATTATTATAATATTTTTGTTTTCATATTCGCTCTATACCTTATATAACACTTGATAATACTCTTATATATTATTTTTTCCCTCTTTCTTCACCTCTAATTTTTTATCATATTATTTATAATTTCATCTTTATTCATTAGTTTTAACTCCCTCTTGTTTATCTCATGTCCACACGACATGGTTTACCAGATCCTTGATAAATTATCTTATGCCTTAGAACTTATTTTATGATTAGTAAATTAATTATGATAGAATCAAAAGAGGCATATCGTAAGCGAAAAAAAATAAAATTTTTACATCTTAGTGAATAAAAAATATTTGTGCATTGGTTAATTGATTGGTTGATTGATTGATTGATTGATTGATTGATTGATAACTTGATTGATTGATTGACAAATACAAAGAAAAAGGGTAAGGGGGAAAAATAACTAAATATATATATCGATATGCAGGGTTGTCAGGCCGAACGTACGGAGACCCCTAAGCTGACCCCCGAACGTTCGGGCGTTCGGGTCCCCGTACGGGGCCCGAACTTGAAGGGGTTCGAACCCCGCAAAAAACTATTTTAACACTTAAATATTATTATTGTTTTCTGAATTTTTTTGTGTGAGTTCTTTGTGATATAAGGTATATATATTTCAGTTTTCAAGTCATTCTGTTCATAAAAAAAAAAAAAAAAAAATCCTCAAAGATGATGGCGTGAAAGATTGTTTGCCCACTCGCTAATTTGTTTTTTTTCTCTTTCCACTTTATGTTTTTCCTTTATTTCAGGGCATGAAAAAAAATATTATTTTTTCAAACTTTATTTGTAGATTATCTATTATGTAAGATACACATATATAATTTTTCATAGCATTTTTCACAACCAAAACAAAATGAAAAATCGCCAAAGATGGCGGTGTCAAAAACGTGCTCGCCCACTCAATAATTTCATTAGCGTTTTATTTTTTTTAATTTTTATTATTATTATTTATTTTTAGTATTTGATTTTTATTTCAAATTTGGTAAAGAATTTGGATGTAACGTTGAGGCAAATGTTGTTTAGTTTATTTTTATGCATAACATATATATATATATATATATATATATATA